GCACCTGAAAATCTCTCAAACTATACTGGACTGGAGCTTCATATAGTCAAATATTACTTTGAGATAGGAGAAATTAAATTGCTTTCCTTGGCTAAGATTTTGTTCCCATATGAGTAGGTATTAGAATAACTGTATATCATGTTAAATTATACTTAATATACTGGTCAGGTTCTATTTAATTCTAGTACCAGTAGTGGTAAAAATAATTTGTCATAATCATCATTGTTGTTATTATTATTATTATTTACAGTATCAGTACTTTCTAGAGTAAAGGCAGAGTAATAGTTCTAATTTATATTTAGTAAAGGTACTTACTTAGATCTTGAAACAATCTTTCTGTTGTTGCCTTTGCTCAAGGCCCTCTACAAATATGCTCATGGAACATAACATGAAAAGAAGTGTTATAGTCATTATTCATAAATCACAAATACACATGTGTACCTACGTGGGTATGTATGCATATTAATGAAATATATGCTTTACAGATCTCTTTATGTTTATAGCAAAATATGACAGTTAATGTCACCTTTTATTTTACCAGTCAAGAATTTCTGGTAATAGTAATTTTATTCAATCGTATATGCTAATACTTGAACTGTTCATTTGCATGACACATTGCAGTTTAGGGAAACATTGAGGTATTGCAAATGCAAGCTTGCTGTAAAAACTGTTCACATCATTAGTAACTCTGTAAGAGAAAAATATAAGCTCTCTCTCAAAAAAATACTGAGGTGTAAAGTAAGACTTTCAAATAAAGTACACCCTTATGAACAGTTAAAGGATCACATGGAGATTTTTAATGTTTTAATAATACCTTAATATCTGACCTTGAAGCACTTCAGGTGTATGCTTGGTAGAACATTTTAAAAAATGCAAAATATTTTCAGTTGCTATCAAACATTGGGTTTTGGCGAATCTTTGTTTTATTTTTCTGTAAATTGAACTAAGTATTCTCCCCAATGTTTATTATTTTCTCCTCTTTTCTTAAAATAAAAAATTCTCATAAATCAGTAAAATTGAACAACTTCCCCTGAGCAGGTATAAATGTATTTATGTCCAAGGAAAAGAAGTCAAGCCCAATAAATATAAGTAAAGGCAACAAATATAATTGAAACAAATACAATAAGGATTCAGTTACCTATTCATTTTAATATGTTTTGTTTAGTTTGGGGTTTTCTTTGTTTGGGTGCTTTGGTTTTGGGGTGGGGTTTTTTTAGAAAAATGAGACTATATTTTTAAGGAACATTTATAGGTTCAGTCTCTTAATTCAAAGTGGCATTGTCATCCCTTACCAAAGTCTCCTGTCTTCCCTCATCTGCTCAATCTAGACAAAATTCTAACCGTTTCCTAATGCAGCTGTCTTTATTGAATATTTCTGAACGAAAAAAATGCCTGTTTGAACAATGTGGAATCAGAAAATCTGTTGTAAACACAGATATTGACAACAAAATAATTGAGTTTTAGTTTTAATTTATACGTAATGTTTTTTACTTCTTGAAAGACTCTTCCTAGATGCTTACTTTATATTTAAGTAGAAGACTGGTCTTACTTCACCAAGAGAGTGTTCGTACCTAGATTTTCAGTGAACTAGCAAAAGATGGAAATTTAAGCATCGTAATTTGTGGACACATGTATGATAAATCAAGTTCTATATTTACAACATATTCCTTTCCTGTATTTTCATTTTTCTTTCTGTTTGTTCTTGCATTGAACTCTAGAAGAAAGAACTGCAATAAAAACCTTTCTCATATTTGACTAATACCTTCATTATAAATGAAACATTTCTTTGCTTGATGACACAATTTTTCTGTCATACTTAACATTTAAGCCACTAGGAGTCTGTGAGTATAATGTCTGAGAATTAGGTATAATACCAATAGGAGTAAGCAAACTTCACTATACTTATATGCTGGTCTGACTCATACCTGTGTCTGAGAATTCTTCAGGGAATAGGCTGTTGGATCTCCATGTCAGTTCTGTCTTTCATCACTCCAGTTAGACTGATAACTGGAACAGCACTGTTGATAATAAAACCCATCTCTTAGTAATATTTAGAAGATATCAAAAGTGCTTTATCAGAAGAGCAAGCATAATTATGGCCATTTCAAAACAGGAAGATGGGACATACAAAGGGAGTGATTTACAGTGATTTACAACAAACCTGTCTTGTAGATATTTCATTCTGTATTAGCTGATCATTCCCTATAGTGGTTTTATTTTATTTGGCTGAAAGTGCTGACAACTGTGTAAAGGATGGAAAGAAAGAATACAGATTAGTGTATTCTTTCATCATTTGTCTAGGTCACTACTGTATAGTAAAGTTTAAAGCAGAGCTTAGGAAATCTTACCAACATTTCAGGTTAGATAAAGAAAAAAGGAGCCATGACTGTCAGACTTTGGGATAACCTCTGATTTGTTAAACCTGCATTCAAGGGAGCAGAGAGTCTACACCTTTACAGTATTTGGGATTTTGTGAAAATACCTTCAGGCTGAGGAAGTTGCCCTGCTCTGTTACTGAGGGTCTACAAATCCTGATGATGATTCTCACACACATCTAAAACATTTTGTCAAACATCTTATATGTGCTCAAGTTTAATAAGTTGTTACATTTTACTCATGAAATATTTGACTACACTACCATTGAAACAATGCATAAATCAGTTACAATTAAAACTTAAAAAAAAAAAAAAAGTGAACTTTTTACTCTGAAGTTTAGACAAGCACAGTTCGTACTATGACACATACAGCTGTTATTCTGCCAAAATAAAAGGATATATTAGTAATTTATGAAGACTTTTCACAAGTTTTTGTAGCAAATTACAACCTGTTTGGGGAGATTTTTTATTTGGAATAATAATATACATTTCATAGTAATGGAAGGGTAATTTATCCTTTCCAATGAATTACATATACAGTTATAAGTGGAAAGCCAGAAAACCTACATTTACAGATTTCAAAGTCCATCTTGAGAATAATATTTAGCAGTACAGATAGGTTCATAAACAAGTGAGGTTGTTAGTCCAGAAATAATCCAGATTAGGAAATTAGGATATGGTTGACTTCCTCTTTTGCTACATTGACTCTATCACTTTTCAACTAATTTTCAAATTTATTATTGATTGTTTTGTTCTGTCATTTGTATTTATTCTGGTTTAAAAATAACATAAGGAAAAAATACTTACTTTGTCAAAATATAAAGATAAATAACTGGTATGTCTACTTTACCTTTCCCATTGATACAGCCTTGAAGATGAGTGCATAGGAAAGTCAGTCTCAAGCATAAATTGGCCTCAAATTTCTTTTCCATTCTAAACATGCAATAGCTATTTCCCTTTTTTTCTTTTTTTAACAAAGAACATATTCCAGTCTTAATTCTTTTTCTTGTTTAAAAATGTTTGAAACTTCAGAAAACATCTCTTTAAATTAAAGAATCAATGCAATTTTTAAAAGATTATGTTAGATTTTTTTTTTGAAATTTTACAAATTAACCACTAAATTCACTAATTTGAGGGTTTCAGCATTCAATGAATACATTATGTTTCACAGATTAAAGGAAAGTTTACTGCTTGGTTAAATAACTTTATTTTTTGGTCTTTAACAAAAGCCATTCTGCAGTAGAGATATCTGCTACCATTTCAGGCGTTAAATAAAAGGATCCAAAGGCAAGGAAACTGAGAATCCTATAAAGGCAAGACATTAATATTTGAAACCTTTATCGGGTTGGCCTAGAGTAAATTATATATTTTAAGAAAAAATCTCAGTTGACTACATCTGTAGAGCCATAAGAAAATGAATGGAGATCATATTAAAAATACTTGAAAGATCTTGATTGCAAAAAGAATTATATAGTAAATTAAATTTGCATTAAATTAAAACTTCGTAACAAAGGGAATTGTAGGCTGTGAAAAGCTCCTGATATTTAGATCTATCAGACTACAGAAAAACATCTATAAGAAAGCAAATATATTCTTACTGTTTGAAATTTATAGCTATATTGTATATATTAGTAGATAAACTTACATTCAGTCATATGATTTAAGCTTTGCTTTTTTTTTTTGGCACTATTGTGATAAATTTAACATTGCTATTAAAAAGTATTAATAAGTTAAAATATCAAAATACTAAAAATATATAGTTAGTAATGTGGGTTTTTGATAGGTGGCACAAAGATGTTTGTAAAATTTTTATTTGATAAGCTAAAATAACATACTAATTTTATATATTTATATATATAAAACCTGCTGTACAGTGAACATCATGTCATTCTCTTTCAAACTTTGAACTGTCTTCCACAGATGCTTTCTTCCTTACAGAAGGAAGTCTACAGAAGATACTTCCATCTGTAAAGTGTTGGCTTGTGTAAAATAAATATCATACCTTTAGTCAGGTCTACTGGTTATTTAAATAATTGTCTTAAGTATTTTAGAAACTATTGTCTAAATTACTCAAGTGTCTGTATGCATGACAATGAAAGTGATTATTTCACATATTTCTACATGTGCTTAAACTTGCTGTGGCACCATTCAGCATCAAAGTTTAAGTATTCATGGGCTTTGAAAAAAATAAATCTCTTTCATTTGCTCTAATATAGTAAAACAATAACTTGTTAATTAGATAATATCTTCTGAACTAGTTCTGCATCCACTTTAAGGAAGAATGACATTACTAGTTTCTGTATCAAAAGCATTGCATATCTCTATATGTGTTTAAAATATGTTCAAAATAGATAGTGGCACTTTTAAAAATATGATAATTTCGTGTAGTAATTTTCCTGTCTATTATCAAAGTAGAGACTGGTTTTAAAAATAGGAGTTTTGTTTTTCAAAAGTATTGCCTTTGTGAAAAGTATTACTTTTTAAATGGTGAAAAATACATAATTGTAAAAGTTGTGTGCTATCAAATTCGACTTATTAATGTATATTATTATCTTAAAAATATGATGCAGTGAAATTTATGGATTTTGATTTGTTTTTAATTTCATGTGTCTGTTTATTGTTTAGAAAAGAATATATCTGATCCAGAAAAGTCATGTTTGGGTCCATCTTTTAAAGAACGGATATCATTTCGAGACCATCCAGTGCAGCTCAGCGGAGGATGGGGAGGAGGCAAAAAAAGGCAAAAGCTTAAAAATATTAGCTGAATATTGGAAATAATTTAACTAGTTGATTTAATCAAATATGGAGAGCTGTTGGATTCTTGTTTATTACTAATATAAACAGTTTCAGTTAACTACATTTGACTTATTTTATTATACATGGTTACAGTGGTTTGGGTTTTTTTTTGTCAAAATATTTTATACCTGTCAGTAAGTTATCATAGTTTGTGTTTTCAATTGCTTATATGTTCATGTGGTGTAGAATGCAGAACTGATTAACTCTACAAGGATTGTTAATACAGTGAACAAGTTTAGGCTTGATTATAAGAACTGGTTGAGATGTGCAAATGCAATAATGGTTCACACTCATATGATGTATGTCACATATCAAAACACTGAATTGTCATTTTCTAACAAATAAAATACGTGCTTGCAAACTGTTGTGATCTGTATCAGCCAGCAATGCCATTCTTAGAGAATTCTGTTTAAAATATTTTACTGAAGCACCAAAAATTTGCAGCGACCTACAAATGGTGGGGATGCACTTGTCTTTTCTTAGTAGTATGAGAAGTCCTCTACAGCTTTCATCCTAAATTATGGTCATAATATGATAAAGCAACCTGTTACAGTTTTATACTTTCAAAGACTTCGTGCATTTTCCTAGAGGGTTAAAGAAAAAATAAATTTACTAAGTTCTCGGTTTGTTTTGAGGAAATGTAACATTACATCTACATGACACTGTTAACCCAACTACATTTGTTCATATAGCCAGACTCCTTCAGACCCATGTGTGAAAGTTTTGTGGTGCAAAGAGATCTAGAGAAAGAGAAAAAAATATATTTCTACTATTTATGATTATCTAACTCATTACTGCTACTGAATGCTTTGTCCATGAACATAGAGCACAGAAAATGTTCCTTGATTTCAAAGTGTAAAATTATTTTAATGTTTTCCACTTTGAGGGTAGAAGTTGCTAACTAGATCTAGAGAAGTCTGCCTTCCTCATCTGTTTTTGTCTAATATTGTGAAGCCTCAACCCCCTATAGACTGAGAGGGAGGTGGGGAGGGTAATGGACCCTTAAACTTCAGTCAGTGAAGAACATAAATTCTTACGTTGTGGCTGTTTTTAAAATATACTTAAATTACATATGACATTATTTTTGTGGCACTTTTAAGGCTAACATACACATATGACTATGGATTGAAAGCAGTTATCTCCATTTTTTTGAGAACTTGCATTAATTTTCAGATTAAAAGATGGCTGATCTCATGGAAAACCTCCAGTAAATAACCTTGCTCATTTGAATCAGCGTGTTGTTTTTATCATAGTCTTACATTTCAAAAGTCAGTGCAGCCTGCTTCAAAAAAAGATTTCCTTACCTTTCTGAGGAATAATGATCAGTGAAGGTTGTTTGGCCTGACTATAGAAATGCTGTGGTTGTCAGCAGGCAATAGAATATCATTAGATGCTTAAGATACCTAATTAGTTTCCCAATGTATGTAGTAAGTGTTAAACTAAATTTATGGATCTCATATGTAAAGACTTTTAAATGTCACTCCCAAAGACTGGAGCTTCTGTGATTTCAATTGTATCACCAAGGATATAAGTTTTGTAAGGAAAGCTTTGTTAGTTCAAAATGTCTGCCACTATATGTGGCAGTGTGGTCAGTAAATAGATACACCACTCTTGCGGATGTTAACTGGAGATCAAAATGCAGTTTAACGCTTCTTGCAGATTATTCCCTCTATTTGTCTAGTAACCATAATATACTGCACATCATCACAGCTATAAATAAGAGATCTTTGTACTTCAGATTTCAAAAATCTTTCTATATCATCTATGTCTATCTACCTCTAGATCTAAAAAAGATCTGCTGTATAAAAGTCGTCATACCTGATTTCCAAGTGCTTCTGAATGAGAAATACCTCCAAGCTTAAATAAAATGCTTTGGAAGCATTTTTAAAGGCATTTTATTTTGCAGAGAGAACATCGTAGCTTTTTAACATACAATTTACTAAATTACAAATTAGAGTGACAATATTCACTGACATGCCTTTTCAGGTTCATAATAGGCTTAGTCTGCTATTCCATAAGTTGATGTTGTCATGCATAAGTTGTGTACCCAACAGAAATTAAGTTATAAAATATGCCAAAGTATTTTGCTGTTTTCATTACATAACATTGCAATGTGTAATGGGATGATGTCTTATTATTGTATTGAGCACATATTTTTAAGAAATGCAGTGTTGAAAGTACAGTGTGTCTGGTCCAATATGGATAAACATGCAGGGTGCGACTTCTGTTCAAGCTAGCAGAAAGACCTTTATTGCTTTCAGGAATAAAGTGAAGCAACCCTAAATTGGACAAATGCCTGCTGTTCATAGTCATATTTTACAGTATGTAAGGTAACACAAATGCTGCATATGGTGTCATATTTATGTTGGCATGAATTTTTCAAGCCCTATTCTGCACACCAGAAAACTGTTTCTTGCTTTCCTTGTGTCTTCCTTGAGGTTTCCTGCTCTCTTTTTTCTTTTTCATTTTATTTTTTAAAATTATTGTTATTTTTCCTTCTTTGCTTTCTTCCCTCCACCCCTACTCCCCAATAGAGCAATTCTCATTTAAGACAAGAACATATTCTTAAAAATAAGTATCTCTGGCAATCTGTTCTGGTGTCAGAGTGGCTGTGAGTCACAGTGACAGCCCAGCAAAACCTGCACCACAAACCTCTGAAACTTCATGTTTCTAGATGTGCTGCTGCCTTTGTGGTGCCACAGACCTCTTCGCAGCTCACTAACATCATCTCCTAGGCACTTTTTACTGTTTCCTGTAGATCCTTTAACATGAAGGAGGAAGGACTTCATGTGAATAAACTCCTTAAAAAATCTTCCTTGGACATATGAAGTTCAAGTCTCGGTACCGTAGAAAAGCATTAATTCGAAATTAAGAATGAAACATCCAAGGTGCATTTATGCATTGATCCTTTGATGGGCGTCATTCACCAAATCTAATTGTATATGAGCTCTCCTGAAAGGATCCTTGGAGTGTGTTTTCCTGTGCAGCAAACCTGACGGTCTGCACAGTAGTTCTTTTCAAACCCTCCATTTTTTGAATGGTGGCATTAGGAACATCATTACCTGCTGCAACAGAAAAAATGCTCCCTAAAATGCATATTCTGAATGAGAACATGGTGTCAGTGGTACTCAGGTAACCCACATCTGAATGACAAAACACTGTGAGGAAATGTTTCTCACTGAATTATGGGCAGATTTTCCTACTTACATGTTAAGACACTTTTAAACGGTAGCCACTCTGACTCAAACGATTGTTGCTCAGATAGATTTCTTGTTCAAACAGATCTGTAAATAGCAGGAAGCCAATGTATCTATAGCATAGACATTGTTTTGGTAGAGGCTGAGTTGGTGTCACATTTTTACTTACTAAATTATTATAATTAATTATTAATAATCCTGTTATTCAAACACACATTCATTAAATGAGTGTCCGCTGTATGTAGTGTTTACATTTTTCAAAACCATGCCATAAGTGGCGTTCAAATCTGGCCTCAGAGAGGTGCAAAACTACCACTTGGTCTCCCACTACAACTGTTGCATGCACTATAAAGAATATACTGGATTAATATCCTTTTGATTTTAGTGTCATATCATCATGATAATGACAATGCATATTTATGGAGGTACAATCTTTCCTTGGTACACACTGAAATGACACCTATTAGCATTAATGGAAGCCATGGTAATATTCTGGGACACTGCGCTATCTTAATATGGTTTTCTTTAATGAGGAAAACACATGTGAGAAGTAGCTATTACTGCATGGCCCCCAAAAGGCAGGAATGGAACTCAACCGTATTATAAAAGATGGAGTAGCATGATATCACATCTGAGATCCAAGATGTTTTACTTAGCTGTACTAGCTGGAAAAAAACCCAAAACAAATAAACAAACAAACAAAAACAATGACAGGAAACTGTTGCTTTGTTTATTTCTTTTAAGTGTCGTAAGTGAAAAACAAATTAACTAATTTTATTGTTATAGGAGTTGTGAAAAGCATAGGAGTTTTGACTAGTAGTCTGTAGAAAGAAGACAAATCACAGTCACTTCTGATTGTGTAAGATCTTAGAACATAGAAATCTTGGCCCACAGTGAACTGCTGCAGCACTTGTTAGAGCCTGTGTGATATATAGATATAGATATAGATATATATACACACATATATAAAAGTGGGATGCCAACTGGTCATGAGTGTAGCTGGAGTTAAGTATGAATGGAACATCCCTTTCTTCTCATACAGAGGCAGAAAATGTGCCTAGAATAGCGGAAGTGACGTTAGGTATGGCCTCCAATCAACAATATAGATTGGTCTGAAGGAACTGTTGGGTCTTGTGAAGAACTGCTTCCCTGGTTTTCAAAGTAGGTGGTGGACAGAAAAGTGCTGACCATATGTCCCTGGAACCATCCTCAAGGACCTTCCTAGGTGCCAGGTTGTGCCGAAGGTTTATTAACACTAAAATCCCTACTGGAGAGATGTTCATGAAGTTCCATGATGGCAAATGAACAGGGACTAGGTTTTCAAAGAGATTTTTAATAGAAATATTGTGTAAATGCCCCAGACTGGCCATCCTTACAAGGACTGGAAGTTTAAATGAATGACATAATGAACTACACTGTTATTCGCAGAGCAGTTGTGCAAATGGATTGTTCTTCATGAGCACAGATGGACTTCATAATTTTGGTGGCATAGATGCTGACACAACAGGTTAGCACATACTTAGCTGCCAAGGACTATATTTGTTCCTCTCCTGGTCTTCACTGGAATGATTGATAGATTTGTCTGGACTTAGCAAACTTGTTTCTTAGTTGATTGGTTAGTTTCACAGAATCATCTAGGTTGGAAAAGACCTTGAAGATCATCCAGTCCAACCATTTACCTAACATTGACAGTTCCCAACTACACCAGATCCCTCAGTGCTATGTCGACCCAACTCTTAAACACCTCCAGGGATGGGGACTCCACCACCTCCCTGGGCAGCCCATTCCAACACCTAACACCCCCTTCTGGAAAGAAATG